TTACGAAAAGTGTTTTTCGGCAATAACGTTTAACTCATAAGAGCCACGACATTTCTTTTGCCAGCATCGTGTTCCTCTCGTCGAGACGCGTCGAATGAACTATAATTTGACTTTGAAAGGTCAACTTGAAAATTTGACCTCAGGTCAAGGTCATGACCTGACCGGTGACATGTTGCATATCAGTCGATCGGCAACGTCGAGCCGAACACATCTAAGGCGTTTTCATCGCTCTAGTATGCCTCTATCAGAAGTTATTAGCGAAAAACTGTCAGATACTATTCGTGACCTGAGATGACCTCGGGGACATAACGAGGGGTCACAGTTGCCATTTTCCGGTTCAGTGTGTCAATTTTACCTGCATCTCGATGTTTGAGAGTGTCTAGAATGGCGTTCGTGCAAAACAGACGCTTTTCGATTTTCTCCCATTGACTTATAATGGAGAGGCCGCAAAATTGACCTGACCTTAGGTCACCGATATCAAAATTCCGAGATATACATTTTATAGATACTGTTACTCTTATCAATCGCTGAAAGTTTCAAGGCAATCGTTCAGTTGGCGTAGCTATGACGAGCATTCCTATTTTTTCTGAGGTGAGGTCACTTGGCGTGATCTGGTGACCTGACCTTGGGCGACCTGGGTCTGAAATTTTCACAACATGTGCGGAAAAGATGCACGAACAGGTGTGCGAAAAACGGCGGCGCTCCGCGCCGCCGTTTTTGAGATATCGGCGAAAAACCGCAGGGAGGGGGGGGGGTGTTCAAACACCCCCGTCCCGGCGCGGGTTAATGGGAAAAATGATCGTTAACATGGCACAAATGTATTATTTTAGTGGTACTTAAAAGAGATCGAAACACAGGATTCGGTGTTTTGATCTTTTTCAAGTGCTAAAATAATACATTTGTGTAATGTTTATTATCAATTTCTTTCCCATTGTATTAACGATTATCATGGCAAAAAAAAAACGCCATCCAATACATTAACCCTCACCGGTGGGGGGGGGGGGTCGAACGGACCCCCCCCCCTCGGTTTTTTGCGAATAACTCGCGTAAAAAGTGGCTGATTGCGACGAAACTTTCAGAACTTTCGCGTTAATCAATTTTACACCTACCCTGATAATTTCATGACCCTGATCCTAATAACCTTTGACATGTGACCTACTTTTCAAGACCATGTTTGGCCGGAATCGCGATTCGGCGTGTGTCGGCTCGCATTAGCCGCGCGTTTGTGGTCTTTTCGTGGTTTCAAGCGTTCAAACAGGGGATATGATGTTGCTCCCATGCATTAGGGTTGGTGTCAAGGTCATCGGAAGGTCAGGTCAGGTCATTGACCTTTGATGACTTTGGTTCACTTTTTCAAATTTTACATGTTTCTAGGCTAGTTTTTTAGCTGAATTCGAATTAAGCAACCATGTGAATATTTACGATGTAGTTTTGGTGCCTTTGTGAATATTTTCGATGTTACGAAGCTTTCAGAGGCGGTTGCCACCTACTACGAATACCCGGCAAAACCCTTACTGGTTGACCTGACCTGGCCTAATTGCATGAAGACATCATCTATGATCATAACTAGCATTATATTCGTGATCAGCACCCCGAAAAAACCTTTAGCAACCACTCTTTACGACGTTCTAACAGGTCCCGATTTTGTTGAAGCACTTGCTGTATGTAAGGCATAGGTATAAGTTCTATGAGAAAAAAACACTTTTAAATGGCCTCCTTACAATGAAATACCAATTGATGAAATAATGAAATAATTATTGATGATTTCGACCACAGGTCATTATCAAAATAAGCCAGACAGAACTTTTGTCAGACACGGACAAACTTTTGTCAGAACTTTTGTTTGAACTTTGTGTCTGACAAAAGTTCTGTCTGGCTTATTTTGATAATGACCTGTGGTCGAAATCATCAATAATTATTTCATTATTTCATCATTTGGTATTTCGTTGTAAGGAAAGGAGGCCATTTAAAAGTGTTTTTTTTTCTCATAGGTCCCGATTTTCCCGACTTTTGGGTCATTGCCCTGACCTGGAAGGTCAACCAATGAGCTAGGACTTTAAAATTGGGTATCATCGGCTTCCTCTCGTCACGGGCAACACGCTCGTTTTTTTCTGCGAAGCTCTAGCTCGATTATGGGCGAAACGGCAAGAAGGGGTCCAACGGACCCCCCCCCCCCCCCATTCGTTCGCGGCTGGCAAAACACCAATACGGGCGAGGGTTAAATGTTTAGGGTAAAAGGTGCTAAGATGCCCAGTCAAGTAAGATGCCCACTGCACCACTGTTTCAAAACTATGAGAACTCTTTACGCAGCAGAAGTCTTTTCGAAATAACAACGCCAGGGCCAGGTGGAACAGGCATGTGTTCTACATCTGCAGTGAGGTCGAGTCTGTTTTTCGTGAAGTTCTTAAAATATAAGCTGCATTTAAAAGTTCATGCTAAAAAAAAAAAGCTCATTCAAAAGTTCATTTAAAAATTCATGTTGTGTACGACCTGCGTGACTTATATGCTGTTCTTCTATTTCACATCACGTTTGAATTTGCCGTGAGTGATTGCGCTGCACCACAATGGCTCGTAGTTTCGTTGCACTTCATTTAATGTTCATTCGGTGCAAGCGGCCAAAACGTTCATCGGCAGTTGAGGGTAAAACGTCACTATCCTTAATTCAGGTTGGGTAGTCTTACCTAACGCCAATAGGTTAGGCTCGGCTGGGAGACAGGCCCATGTTGTTGAGCGTGCCTCCCACTCCCAGGACCGGTGCCGATGCCAAGCAACCGTCATACACTTGTGACTTCTGCAGGTCTTGATAAGATGCATATGCGGGTCATTCGGAATTGTGAGTGACCTTTGGGCTTTGATCTTGACATCGTTGAGCTCGACGTTTCATTTTTATGCTTATGTTGGACTTCATGCACTACTTCAACTTCCGATGGCTTCAATCGGACAACAGTAAAAAAGTGGAAGCCAATCAGTCCGTTTAATTACCTTTTTGCCCGGGCGTTTTACCCAGTACCATGGGTAAGAAGCGCCTTTGTAAACGTTAACCCGCGCCCCGTAGGGGGGCCGAAACGGCCCCCTGTCCTTTTCCGTCGATATCTCCTAAACGGCTGGAGATATCGCCACCAAACTTTCAGGACCCCTCCGGGCATCAATTTTACACATTGTGACCAAAACTTTTTCCAGAGGCTATGATAGGTTGGCCACAAATGACGTCAGAATGACGTCATGTTCTGCCATTTTCGACCGAAAAAAGACCTTCGCGAGAAGAGCTGTCAGGCCTACAGCTTTGAAGATACAGAAAAATGATCAAGACATAAAAGGTGGCTATCTCGGATTTTTGAATTTTCTTAGTTTTGACCCTCAAAAATCAAAAAAGCAATTTTTTGGATATATTAGCCAAAAAATCCAAAAAGTTTTTTGTATTTCGAAAAAAAAACGGAATATATGTGATAGTACCTACCGTCCTCTATCTATATACCAAATTTCAGATCGATATATTGTTTTTTGGCCAAGTTATAGCGAAAAAAAAAACTGTTCAAAAATGATGACGTCAAATTTTCAAACGCAATTTTTGGCAATTCTACACCACGTAGGGCAAAACAGAGACCACCATTGGACTCCCCGTGACGAGCTGCATCGAATCGATACCCATTTTATGCAAAAATATCAACTTTGAAATTTGACCTAATGTGACCTGACCTTGACCTGACCTTCACCAAAACGTGACCTAAGCTGGCCCCAAAAGCTGCCTGACCCACATAATCGCATTTGTCATGTAAAATGGACCATAAAACATGTATCACACGACACTTTCATATTGTGACCCCCAGTGACCTGACCTCTGTGACCTGACCTGGTAACAGTGACCTTAGATAGCGAAGTATGTGTTTGACGAACAATGTACCATCGATGGTTTTCAATAACTTACCAATTTACTCGATTTCACAACACATTTCTTGAAATGCCTGTGAACGGTGAAAATCCGACCTTTGACCTGACCTGTGACGTCATCGGTTTGACCTAGGTCAATGAAATTTGGTCACAAGGTAGTTCCCCGGTGGGGCTATAGAACGCCGTTTGAATTTTGAAAATCGGCCGGTAAATTTCCGAGATCTAAGGGGGGCCGAAACGCCCCCCCCCCCCCTACGGGTGGGTCCGCCGGTAGCCCTACGGGGCGCGGGTTAAGAAAGTGAAGAAAAATATGGTATATTAAGCAAGCTAGATTTTCATACTCTCGCTGCTAAAAAAAAAAAAATGCAAATGAATGAGGTGCTGGCAAAATAAAAACTCTTTGCGTACCAAGATAAGCGAGTTATGATCAGTTTCCCTTAGCATGGGCGTTTTGCCATCTTCTACCCTATCTGACTTTGACCCAACCCGAATCTTACATTGACCTAGGTATTTGATATGTCGTTTGAATTCCGCATCCGGTAGGAACTCTCAGAGATCGTACCTAAAGGGCAAAAATTGCCCCCTGCCAGCTATCTAAGCTGCGGGGGTCGGTTGGAATATCCTGGTCATGAATTCCCATATTTCTCACTTTGGTAGCATACAAAGCAGAAAATGCTGCCCACTCGAGTACGACATCGCGTTCGATACGAGAGGACAAACTGGCACGTAATGTGAAGAGGGTATTGGGAGGGGAATGAGGACTGTCTGATCATCTGGCTCGAGTGCCTGCCTTGGAGTACCCAACGCAAGACACGGGATCTACAAGTGGCGTTTCCTGCCCGAGTGCACGTGACCGACGATGGTGCGAGTATCGGACCATTGTCTAAAGGTCGGCGGCAGCGGCCTCTCTTGAACACCGATTGTAGCGTGAGTGGAGAGAGGAAACCGCTGTTTATTCTCCTAGGATTTTAACCGCTTTTTAAGATGGATGCCAGTGTGCTGAATGAAAACTTTTCCATTTGAGTGGTGATGGCTTCAAGTTTTTCTTTAAGCTACAATCTACCGTCATAGGGGAATGTGATTTGTGAATTGGGAATAAACAACAGACAGAATAGGGATTAGGGAGCGTATATTGTATTGGACATTCACAATTTAACAGAAAACTTCCATGCGCACACTCCGATGTGCGCAATACTCAAGTGGAATTGCACGACAGATATCGCTAAAATGAACATAAACTTTACAACTTCTCCTTTTGACAGTCACGCCGTTGACTTAACCGGGAATGGAAATTCGGGATGCTCGTCAACTCCCGGAAAACTATCGTAAAACTTGAAGCTTCTGCCGGCCTCTCCCTGGTCCAACAGGCGCAGAGCCCCCATGTCCACCTCATCCAGCTTGAAGCTGAATAGGTCGCCGTTCTCTTTGATGCGACCAGCGTTGGTTGACTTGGGGATGACGATGATGTCCTGCTGGACCAGGAACCTGAGCAGCACCTGGGCCGCCGTCCGTTTGTGTTTCTCGGCCACCAGACGTACCACGGGATTGTTGAGCAGGTCGGGCAGCTCGATCTTGACGCCGCGCTTTTCATAGAGCACCTTCCTGCCGGGAGAGGCCAGAGGCGCATAGGCCGTGATGGCGATGTTGTGCTTCTTGCAGACCTCGCGCATCTTCAGCTGCTGAAAGTAGACGTGACACTCGACCTGCAGCACGGCCGGTGGGATGGTAGCAATCGCCACTGTCTTCAGCAGCTGCCTCTCGTTGTAGTTGGACACGCCGATGGACTTTGCCAAGCGCAGGGAGACCATGCGTTCCATTTCCTTCCAGACGGCGATCAGGTCAGTGCCGTGATGGAGCGGCATCCGTCCGTCCTCTGGTGGCGGGGAGGTCAGCTCGCTGCGCTCCAGCGCCCCCACCGGGCTGTGTACCAGGTACAGATCCACCGAGTCCAGCCCGAGCGCGGCCAGCGAGCGGCGCAGGCTCGGCTCCACGCGCTCGGGCCGCATCGCCACGCTCGGCAGCTTGGTCACCACGAACAGGTCGCTCCTGGTGAGCTTGCCGGTGGCGATGGCGGCCTTGATGCCGCGTCCTACGTCGGCCTCGTTGTGGTAGAGCTCAGCGGTGTCGATGTGCCGGTACCCGGCCAGCAGGGCGGTCTCCACGGCGGTGGAGATCTCGTCTCCGACGGCCCGCCAGCAGCCGAGGCCGAGCAGCGGCATTTTGTGGCCGCTGTTGAGCTGTACGGTGGTCGCCATGGCTGAGTATTGGTGATCACCCGGTCTGGTCCGCTGAAGCCGACACTGCACTCAGTGGTAGCGCGTCTGCAGCCGCAGGGCAGAGCAGGGAGCTGTCAGGTGAGGCCGGACGGGCGCACTTTGTCCGTGCCCCGAGTGGCGACTGGCTGCGGGAGGCCTCAGGCTGATTCAGTCCCACTATCAGACAATGACTCGACACATGGGCGGGCGGAGGTCGCCCAGCCGCCTGTCACTATGCACACAATGTGATGTGGAGGATAGCGGGAGAGGAAGGGAGAGAGAGAGAGAGAGAGAGAGAGAGAGAGAGAGAGAGAGAGAGAGAGAGAGAGAGAGGAGAGAGGGAGAGAGAGAGAGAGAGAGAGAGAGAGAGAGAGAGAGAGTGAGAGAGAGAGAGATATATGGAGAGAAGAGAGGTGAGTGAGTGAGTGAGTGAGTGAGTGAGTGAGTGAGTGAGTGAGTGAGTGAGTGAGTGAGTGAGTGAGTTAGAGAGAGAGAGGAGAGAGAGAGGCGCGGCACAACCTGTTTACACGAAATGCTAATCAGCGCTGCGGACAGCGAACGCCGGCTGCACCGCGCACACATGCGTGGGCCGCACAGCCGGCGTCAGCGCTGTGTACGAGATAAGCGGCAGCTCGCTGCGATCAACTGTTCGGAGGGGCAAACAAGGGCTCGTGTCCGGAATAATGATCGTTCAAGATTGAAATTCATTCCCGTTTTCAACTTGGGATATCGATCATCGATCACGTGATTTTTGATTTACAGAATGAAATACATTATGCGGTATCTGAAGGGAGCTACTTGTCTTAATTCTAAAGTGAACGCTCGAACTGATTCTTTTATTCTTATTGAATGTTTAATTCTTTTGTTCTTACTGAACAAATAGAACTTACAGAGCAGCAATCGTTACCGTACGGATAACGAGCGTGCTTGTTAGGTCTCGATATCGTTTGGTGGAAACTTCGTGGACGAGTAACAGGTCACACGATGACCTGTTGCTCCCATTTCGCGTGTGCGGCTGTTTTACTACGCCGTCCCTTCCGTGGCTGCCTGTAACGCGCCGCTGATTTATGTTACAGATGACGGCACCGCCAAAAAAATCTGCTGGCTTCTGGCCGAGTGCTGCCTGAGCGCCCACCAGCCGGCGCAGGCGCTCGACGCCGTCCGCTTCATCGAGGCCAAGTTCGTCACAAAGCCAGAGGACGCGCGCAAAAAGGTCGGGTGCGATGGCAACTCGATACATTATTTTCGACAGTATAACTGTCTTTTGTACATGGTGATTGTAACCATAAACCAATATGAAGTCAGAATTATCGCGTATCAGTTCTGTTTAGTTTTTGTGTGCCTGTTTCCATGCCGCTGTTACTCTCTGGTCACTGTGTGACACAGTGCAGGGCGCTCTGTCTGGTCGCTGCCCCCCGTCCGCCGTCTGACCCCGTCCCTGGGTCACCAGGACGGCACGCTGACCAGCCTGGCTCTGCGGATGCACCGGTACCGGCTGCGGGCCGGCCTGCAGCTGCACAACCTCTCTGACGTGGCCTCGGACGTGCGTCTTCTCGCTGACACGGTACGGCAGGACCGGGTACAGATTGAGGGCCCTCACAGAGCTAGTGAGATCCTTGGCCACATCTGGGGGCTGCGCACCGGCCTTGGGACCCTCCGGCTGGTAGCAGCGGCAGAGATTATAATAAAGGTTCTTTGGCAGTGATAATAGATCTGGTGTAAATAAATGTAAAATAATGTGTAGATGTAAAAAGAACGTGGCCTGCACGATCGTAAGCTTGTCTTCAGTTTCTGGAGCATTAATCGCTTCATTTTGGGATGATAACGGATAGATTTGTTATGTTTTGCAGCTGTGCTTAGTCATTCACTCTTACCATTCGACTAGCGATCACCTCGAATCCATCCTTCTCGTCCACCAGGACATGAGCCGCGCGTTCATCGAGAGCTACTCGGAGTACCTGTCGGGCCGCGGCCGGTCGGCAGTGTCCGTGCTGAACCGGGTGGCCGGTATGACCCTCCCCCCGTACCGGGCCACCGGGGAGCACGTGGCCACCATGTACTACAACAACCTGGCCTGCATCCACCACTACCTCAACAAACCCAACGTGGCCGGATACTACCTGCGGCGGGCCATCGCTGAGAACGACGCCGCCACCGCGCCGCCGGCCAAAACCGATGGTGGGCAGGAGTGACGGAGCGGTAACATGGCTGAAAAGTGATTTAGCCAGCAGGGTACTGTGGGAATGGACGGCCTAAATAGTGGTGCCTGGAAGAAGCAATGGGTGTAGTTTTGTATTGTATCTTTTCATGTTGGGGTTATCGGTGATTAATTACAAAAAAACGCTGCTATCTCCGTTGCGAGCCTCACTAAGTGTAATGTGTAATAGTAACCCCATGAACTGAAAAACCATCTGCTGCCGACTGCTGACCCATTCGTTCTTCTCCAGGTGACCGGTACGGCGGCGTGCCTGTGCACGCCATCGGCGGCTCGCGGCACTACGAGCTGGTCTATAACGCCGGTATCGCCTTCCTGCACGCGGGCCGTCCCAAGCAGGCGTTCGACTGTCTGACGGAGGCCATCCAGGTGTACCACACCAACCCGCGGCTCTGGCTGCGGCTGGCAGAGTGCTGCATCCTGGCGCACAGACAGGTTAGTAGACAGGGCGACAGAGGGACGCCAGGCTGGCAGAGTGCTGCATACTCGCCCACAGACAGGTCAGTGGCCATGACTCTGGCTGCGGCTGGCAGTGTGCTGCATACTCGCCCACAGACAGGTTAGTAGGCAGGGCGACGGTACAATGCAAAGGTAGTCAGAATGGTGACAAAAACTGTTAGCTCATAGCTGTGAGCTTAGCATGGTTAGCACTTAGCTGTCACCATGACGAATTATGAAAAAATGCCACATCAGTGTTACCACGACACGATACAGCGACGCAAGGCTTACGCTGAGGCTTACCATCATGGCGAAGAAGCAATGACAGGCTAGTTGCCATGGCGACAAAAGTTCAGCTCAGTATCCGCTACCAGTGGTGTCTAACGTATATGGAAAAAGAACGGCGGCCTTGGGTCCGATACTCGCAGGTAGAAAGGTGTTACCTCTGTTAATACCTCTGTTGGTGTCTCCGTACCTCTGCTGTGACTGTTGTGACTCGGCGGTGAATTTTGGTGAGCGAGCTGAGCACGTGACGTCACGCGTCCTTGGTTTGGAGTGTCTGCCGAGGTGGCGCTATCCAGCTGCGATCGTCATTGTTGGCGATGCGTTAGGCGAGAGGAGATGCAACAAAAAAAAAAAAACTAGTTTGCTAGCGCAGGGTGTAATTCGCTGCGGCGCACCAGCTCTCTACGTAATTGAATGCATCTCTCTCTCTCTCTCTGCACCGTGCAGGGCGATCGATAAGAATGTTGTTTGTGTACTGTGTAGCCGGCGTAGTCTGCAAACCTGAGTTATTGCTGTGTCTCCGATCGAGTCAGACAAGGGGAGAAGGTGCTGCGTTACATTTGACACACCGCCGCAGGTATGCGATCGAAGGGCTGGTCGGACGAATGATAAGTGACGTGTTTTGTGTGTTGTTTTTCTCAGGAGAAGCACGGCGACGAGCCGGGCACGGCGGCCGGAGTCGGGGTGAAGAGGCAGAGTCTGATTCAGGGCAGCATTGGGGCCGGCGTGCACAGAAAACTGATACTCCGGGCCACGCCGACCGCGGCCAGGTGTGTGCATTGTTTGCAGTCTCCTCTGCAGAAAGTCCCATACTCTGCCTACTGTACCTCGGATAGTGCTGACACATTCGACTATATACTTTCCAGCTTGACAAGCCTCCACGTCATGAAACCGGTACATGAGCTTACATTGAAAGCTATAGGCATATCCTCTAGCGGTACAAAGACTTAGTAATAACATCCACGCTGTCTGTCGGAGTGTCAGTCCATCGTCCACCGTGTTCTCCGTCCACCTTGTGTGACCTCCGTGTCCGCGTCTGTCCTCCAGTTCGGACCAGATCTCGGCAGCCATCCCCAACCCGACGCTGGAGTTCGCCTCGCTGGCTCTGCGGAACGCCTGTCTGATTCTTGGGGAGGACGGAGAGGGAGAGAGTCCCGTCACTGTCGAGCCGGCCAACCCCGTCACTCCCGACCAGGTCAGTAACAGGGTCACATGCCAACCATGTGACACCCGACTAAGTTAGTGGACTGGAGAGGGTAAGGTCAAGACAGGGATACAGATTGCAGATTGACGGCCACGGGTTAGGACAGGGCAGTACTGGATGGTCATGGGTGAGGGCAGGATAGAAGGACGATCGTTTTATTGGTTAAGGTTGCCTGTTGTTTACGCAGCTGCATAGCACACGTGAGTTCGGCCGTGGTGGATGTAGTCACGAGATTGTCCGACGTCCGTACCTGGCTGTATTGGACATTCGATGATGTCATCTTTGCTAACACCTGAGTCACTGTGAGCCATGGCTCGATGCCTTCTCGGAGCTATTTCTGTGTGCCGTCCCAGCCAGACGTGACTCTCCAGACGTGGTCGTGCAAACAGACGACGCCAAGGCGTGACTAAAACAGTGGGGCTCGGTGGTAGTGCGTCCAGCGTACAGAGCATGTCGACTGTCGAAGGAAGATGCAATAATGGACTGAGATAAATGGTGATTTCGAATATCCAATTCAAAATGGCCGCTTGCCTTTATTGACACTAGACAGCGGCCCTTGGTACAGCCAATGGCTCTTGATTTTAGTTAGTCTGGGCTCAAACGCATCACACTAAAATTGGGGCCTGAATGATCCAGACCTTAATTTGGCCCAGTCAATGGCCTCGGGTTCGAATTTCGGACCTTCTATCTCCATGTCTCCACCTATCAGTCCATATCGTCCGCTGTATACCTACACCCTCTCTCACCCCCCTCCCCCTTCCCCCGTCTCCAGGTGCAGACGCTGCGCTGCTCGGTGCTCTCTGCCCCACCAGTTGATCTCACACTCCCTCCCCCCCTCCCCTACCCCCAGGTCCAGACTCTGCGCTGCTCGGTGCTCTCTGCCCCACCAGTTGATCTCACACTCCCTCCCCCCCCCCCCCCCCCTCCCCTACCCCCAGGTCCAGACTCTGCGCTGCTCGGTGCTCTCTGCCCCACCAGTTGATCTCACACTCCCTCCCCCCCCCCCTCCCCTACCCCCAGGTCCAGACTCTGCGCTGCTCGGTGCTCTCGGCCGCACCAGTTGATCTCACCTCCCCCCCCCCCTCCCCCGTCTCCAGGTCCAGACCCTGCGCTGCTCGGTGCTCTCGGCCTCCTCCTACGTGCACCTGTGTCTGGGCGACCCGGTGCTGGCCCTGGAGGATGCCCGGAAGCTGCTCACCCAGCGGCTACTGGCCCCCGCCCAGCGGCTGCTCGGACACCTGTACGCCGCCGAGGCGCTCCTGCTGCTCGACAGGGCCGACGAGGCGCTCGAGCACCTCACGCCAGATCTCAGCGGTGAGAGGGGAGAGGGGCGGACGGGGGACAGGGCCGACGAGGCGCTCGAGCACCTCACGCCAGATCTCAGCGGTGAGAGGGGCGGAGGGGAAGGGAGAGAGGGGAGCGGCCGGTAGTCGGGAGAAGGGCAGAATGGGGAGAGAGGTGGTCTCAGGGATAACCATGCATTGTCGTCACCGATATTTTGGCAATAAAATTCTGAATTAAGGTTACCTAGTTTTTCATACTCGATTAGTAGCTTAGCGCTTTTGAGTGAGACATAGGTAACCAGGTGAACTGCACTTTGCTGGAGATCTGTCTTTGTCAGTCATTGGCCTTCGTTGGTTATCACCGGCCGTCTTCTGTTTGTGAAGACCGCGGTTATCAGCCTTTTTGGCACCGCCTGTGGCCCACTGTATTTCTCGTGTGCCTCTCTGACAGCCGCTGGTGCCCCTGGTGCGCCTGGTACGCTGTTCTGGTGTCCGACTAGTGCTGTGACTGTTGGTGCCCCTGGTGCTCCGTTCTGACCGTCCCCGGTGCTCCCCCAGCGGACGTGTCGCTGCACGCGCCGGACGTGGCGCCGTCGCCAGTCGAGCAGCGCTGGTACCCCAACTCGCCGGTAGGGGCGCGCATGTGCCTCCAGTACAATATGGCCGTGGTGCGGACCATCCGCGGCGAGCTGGAGCTCGCCTGGAACCTGCTCAGAACGGTACGGCTGGGAGACGGGTGCTCCGAGACCGGCGATCGGATACTTTTTCAAAGGAAGCTGAGTTTTTTGCGTTTTTCATGTCTGATTAAAGTGTTTTGTTGGTTGGCGGGAGTGCACAGCTTTTCCTGTTGATGTAAATGCATGTTTTAAATATGACATGTACTCAATGCACGTATTTGTTTGCCTTGTGGTTACTTCTTACTGTGTTATTCTGACGAGGTGCGCCGTGTTTGGACAGATGAACCCTGCCGCGCCTGAAGTGCCGCCTCAGGTGGTTCAGCTGGCCCTCTACCTCCAGCTGAAACACGGTACGTCACTGGCCCAAAACAAACATATGATCTTCAGACGAAGTGTATTTGTAGGCTCGATAAACATTCAGCTTTCATTTTTTTTTCGTATTTTGTAAAGCGTAATCACTAGCAAGCTGTGAGCCATGTAGATGAACAGCATTTAGCGGCGTTTTGCATTCCTTTCAAGCACTCAGTTTTCACTTACTCTTGTCGACGGTGACACATGCCCCCTTTGTTCCGCAGGAAATCTGGACATAGTGCGGTCCATCATAAAGCAGCACTCCCCTCAGTATCGTTAGCGGCATCCTGTGACTGCCGTGACTGCAATCGGCCCGCGACCGACTCGCCGTGACTGCGATGGGTCCGGACCGCTCGGGCGACCAGCCGCCGTGTCCTAATGAATTTTCGGCGAGCCAGAATATTATTATTGACTTGCAAATGCCCGTGTTGCGAGATGAAATACATGTGGGATATTTCTGCGATGTTTTTTAATCGTAAAAGTAGAATCGACTTAGTCGGATCAGCATACGTGATGCCATACGTGTGTTTCTACTGGAGGCGAAGAGGACCGGGGGTGCTAGGACTGTCAATCATGAGGTATCAAGAAGTGTTGTAAGACGATCATTGTCATATTCAGGAATAGGGGCAAATCAGGGGATAGAATTAACCGGGATAAACAACCCGGATCCCTCTTACAACAAATGTTCTTTGACCTATGGAATCTCGACGCATCCCAGCGAAACAAAGTAACCTAGAGCAGGGCTGCTGCGACCGGGGGGGGGGGGGGGTCATGGGAGTCTGGATGATTTCACTTCCGTAATGCAGCCTAATAATGTATAAAGGTCTGTTTTTTTTTTTTTTTTTGCTTCCCCCTCCCCTCCCCATTCGGAGGAAGTGGCGGTGTACCTGCGAATGAGTGATTGATAAGGGATTTATGATTTATTCCTTCGTCTTTGAAACGAAATGAAATATTTTGAAAGCAAAGTCACTGCTTTTTAATTCACGCCACCCTAGAAATTCGACTGCAGTGCACCTATCCATTTCTGAGTCTATGAATTATGAAACGGACTATAGTGCCTACGTGCCTATCTTTCCCAGGTCAGCGGCTCGTCTGTCTCCTCCTCATTCTACCTAAAAATATGGTTACTGACTATGAAAATGGTGTCCGTTGAATTAAAATATCAGTCTTTTATTTCATCCTCGAAACAAATCGACAAATTTGAAAGCCTTTTTGAATATTTAGAATATTTCCGTGGTGAAGCGGTCTCGCGCCGACAATGGAATTTGTGACGTCATTTTGATTTTAAGCTACTGCTTTTATTATATACAAAATTATCTCATCCTTGATATCTTTTGCGTCAGGTCGTGCTTGATGGTGTTTTGGTGTGAATTGCTCTGCCCGTGGCTGCTCCAAGCTCATCAGTTAAAGGCAACTAATTGGAATATATTATAACTTGGTCACCAAATTCTTCAGAAAGTTTGTAATAGTAAAGGGTTTTACAGCGAGTCAGTTGCAAATCGATCACTGAGCAATCGAATCATCTGCGCAAGAAGTGCCGCGCTGGCCGTGCCTGACGCTGATTGGTATCGGCGGCGGTTCTTTTTCGGTTAATTCTAAATAGTCACCATAGGTACCAGGACGCCAACTCATTTTGATTCCCCTGCTGGAGAAGGGGACAATCAAATGGCTGAAACAGTCCAATCAAAAAGACCAAATTTTTCTGCAATAAATTTGGGAGGCAATGGCATTAATGCTGGAGCAAGCCAAGCTGCGTCGAAGTCTGGCTCGGCAAAGAAGCTGGTCATCAAAAACCTACGAGGTGAGTAGTTACAGTATCATCAGTATATGTGGTACAAATATTTTTACGTGCTTCAGAGTGTGCATTTGCACTCCCAGGAGCAATAATAATTATTCTTGTTAGATTTCCATGTTGCCTATGCTTATTTATTTGTTCCAGAGCGGCCAAAGCTACCAGAGAACTACCAGGAGGTGACGTGGAGTAAGCTGAAGGAGGCAGTGCTGGCGATCCAGCAGTCACGTTCCATCACCTACAGCCTGGAGGAGCTCTACCAGGCCGTGGAGAACATGTGCAACCATAAAATGGCCGCTCAGCTGTACGCCAATCTGAAAGGTACTGTGCTGAATAGGGCCTGGCTGTTGTACGTTGCTCTCATTTTTAGTATTACTGAAGTTGAGGCCCACATGCTTTTTGAAGGGAAACTTTGCCTTCCATGGTTTTCTATGTCCTGAATCCAAAAATGATACGCCTTAAGTGGAGCAAGTATCATAATAATCCATTGGGGGGACGTCACCTGACCCAACCTCATCTGACCTAACTCAGCCTGGAATTTGGCTAAAGGTACCTAATAATAACATCAGCTAAACAGGCTACAACAGCTAAAGGAAACATAATTTTCTTAATGTTAACTGGGTCTCACTATTTCCTATAGTTCCCGGGAATTGATAACACAAAGGGCTATACATAAGCATACATTCCATAATCCTGCATTTTACCTGATCTCTGATGCCTGTATTTTTTGCTAGTTGGTAGAAGACTTATGGGAGGGCTAGCCTGAAGCTGGTGAAAGCATCACAACCAGTTAAGGCAGTTGAGTGGGATTAACCATGTCTGGTGATGTGATTGCCAAGATTCCTATAGATTATGCTGTATGTTGAAGGCATGCAATGTTAATAATGCATACATGCATTTTTGTGAAAATGGGAATGCTGAACTTCAGACTTTAGATCAGGCATTCCATAGCATAGGGTGGGAAAACTTCTTGAATTGACCTTGGAAATCAGTGCCTGCTCAACATGCCCTTTTGAGTGCAGGTATTGATTTCTTAGAAGAGGTCCCTGCCTTGCCAATATATCGTGAGTCGGTAAAAGTCAAACACCTTATTTATCTGTCAATTAACCCGCGCCCTGCTGGGGGGGGGGTGTTTGAACACCCCCCCCTTGTGGTTTTTCGCGAATATCTCAAAAACGGCGGCGCGGAGCGCCGCCGTTTTTGGTACACCTTATCATGCATCAATTCTACACATGTTGTGAAAATTTCAGACCAAGGTCATTCAAGGTCAGGTCACCAGGTCACTTGAAGTGACCTCACCTCATAAAAAGTTTCAATGTCTGTCATAGCTACACCGAGTGACTGATCGCTTTGAAACTTTCAGCGATTGCTAAGAGCAATAGCATGTACAAAATGTATATCTCAGAATTTTGATATCGATGACCTAAGGTCAGGTCAATTTTGCGACCTCCCCATTATAAGTCAATGGGAGAAAATTGAAATGCGTCTCTTTTAGACGAAAGACATTATAAACACTCCCAAACACTGAATTACAAGTGGTTTAGACACACTGAACATGGAAATGGTGTCCGTGACCCCTGTTTGTGCCCTGAGGTCATCTTAGGTCACGAATGGTATCTAACAGTTTTTCGCAAATAACTTTTGATAGAGGCATGCTAGAGCGATGAAAACACCTTAGATGTGTTCAGCTCGACGATACGGATCGACTGATATGCAACATGACCCTTTCCGGTCAGGTCATGACCTTGACCTGAGGTCAAATTTTCAAGTTGACCTTTCAAGGTCAAGTTATAGTTCATTCGATGCGTCTTGACGAGAGGAACACGATGCCGGTAAAAGTAAGCTCGTACAATGCTTGGGTCAATAGTTATTGCAGAAAAACTGTTTCCGAAAAAATCGGCTATTTTTGCAGTTTTTGCCCCCTGCAGGCAAAACCGTTGACGTTAGGTCAAATCTGAGAGAATTACTCAGAAAGGGCGTTAATAGGGCTATCGAATGCGCTTTTCCGCGGCGCTGTAGCTCTATTGGTTCCCGAGTTATGCGTTGGCTTCTTGGAAATTTTCGACATTCGACCTGGAAATCGGCGAAATTTTGCCTTCAATGACCTCTGGTGACCTGACCTTTGACCTGACCAAAAAATTGACCGAAGTGATTTCGTCATTATTTTTGACGCTCTTTCGAACGCCGCCTTCCGCGTATCGCTACGTGGCCCAGGAGCCGAGTTAGAAGGGGGGGGGGTGTTCAAACACCCCCCCCCCCCCAGCAGGGCGTGGAAATCCAGGACCCCCAGCCGGGCGCGGGTTAATTGAATTAAATTCGCTTTATTGTATGATAAGTTGATGCAAAAGCAGAAACGAAATAGCGGACGCGCTGGCGAAGTCCGCCGTACCGACGGATATCCGCTTTATCGTGAAGGCTGTTGATCTCTCCTCCACTAAGGTAGGGCGTCGTAGCTGGCCAGACAGCTTTTTCAAGACGATCACGGAGGCCCGTATGCCGGTGCCGTTGGTCTCGGAGGGCCGGAACGGTGTGGTCAGTATCCACCAGCTGCGGGCGGGACACTGGAGCCGCTCGCAGAGCTACCTGCACAGAATCGGACGCCGCCCTAAGCGCGACTGCCCACAGTGCAGCGACCTGTCCTGCCCAGCGGTGCGTTGCCTGGTGTGCCGCGAGGGCCCGGACACACCGGTACCGGAGCATGTGTTGCTTGGGTGTCCGTGCGTGGCCGTTCGAGACTCTGCCTACTCGGCAACATCAGAACGGACACAGAAACGTTATAGAGACGATAAAATGAGCTGAATTTAACGGACCGCACGCAGCTTGGGGGCTGCAGGGCCGCAGCCGCGGCCACCTCTGGCACCAAAGTATCTGGGCTATGGTCGGCGGTACGCTAACCCGAGGGGAAGAACTTCGACTTGTGCTGAGAGCCTAATCAGAACTCACATTGAGGCAAGTCAGTGGATGCGCAATTTGCTAGAAACCCATTAGGTGTTAAATGTTCATTATTTACTTACAGAGATCGGTCATTTGTTGCTTCAGCAATGGCTGAGACCCGCCATTTACCGATTCAGTCTCAATACGGACGCAGTCTCTTCGCGCGTATCAATTCGACATAGGTTTTCAGTGCTGACACCTATATTTCCTCGTTTCAGTGCTGACACATTGATCATTCACCCAGGGTTTCAGCCGGCTGACATCCATCATCATATTTCAGCGCTGACGGAGGCGCACGTGAAGCAGCAGGTGCTGGGATTTCTGGGAGACGAGCTGGCCGACCGTGACCTGTTCCTGCGCGCCATGAACGAGTGCTGGCAGAACCACTGTCGGCAGATGATCATGGTGCGCAGCATCTTCCTCTACCTAGACCGCACCTACGTGCTGCAGAGTCCGGCCGTGCTCAGCATATGGTCAGTGGAAACACGGGAAACGGGGCGTGCTTAGAAAGGGAATTGCTAGGGGAAGACGGTCACCTAGTTAGTCCGGTTTGCATCTGCTTCTGAACATGCTTTTTTGTCCATCTTGGCCAGACAAGGGAGTGTGGAACCTTACGGTATATGGTGAAGTTGTAACATAAAGAGGTAACATTTCACTATCAAATAGTATTTCCCGCGTGTGTGATGAGTCTTGACTCATCAGTCATCACCTTCCTTTGTGGCACGCCAGTGTCGTCGATTAGTGCGTCTCCTGAGACGTTGCTCCGCCTCTTTGTAGGGACATGGGTCTGGACACGTTCCGGACCCACGTCATCACCGACGAGCTGGTCCAGAACCGCACCGTCACCGGCCTGCTGTCCCTGATCGGCTGCGAGCGCGCCGGCGAGGCCGTCGACCGCATCTTGCTCAAGTCGCTACTGCGCATGCTCTGTGACCTGCAGATCTACCAGGCGGCCTTTGAGGACAGGTGGGAACACCGTGATACCATTGCCAGAGACTGGGAACGTCGGACTGGCCGCTCGCGTGGATATTACGGGGCCTCGTACTGCGTTTTTGTAGCTTGAAACGACATTTTATTGGGAAATGTATTGGCCTTTTAATTTTATTGGTACTCAGAGTGTTCTTATAGGATATAGGTGCCTCTGCCTTTCTTTCGACTTACATCCGTCAGCCACTCGCGATACTTCATTACCTCCTGCGGCAAATGGTGGGTTCATCCAATTTCGTCATCCCTGCTGCTGTCATTGCCCGTCCCTCGCCCATGACCGCCCTGTGACCGTCACTGTGCGCCGTGTCACCGCAGGTTCCTGCAGGCCACGGACCGGCTGTACGCGGCCGAGGGCCAGCGGCTGCTGCACGAGCGGGACGTGCCCCAGTACCTGGCGCACGTGGACCGCCGCCTCCAGGAGGAGCACGAGCGGCTGCTCTACTACCTGGACGCCAGCACGCGGCGCATGCTCATCTACTCGGTGGAGAAGCAGCTGATCAGCGAGCACCTGGTGACGCTGCTGCAGAAGGGGCTGGACCAGCTGCTGGAGCAGGGCCGCCACCAGGAGCTGCGACTCCTCTACAGCCTCGTCTCCCGCGTCAAAAACGGCCTGGTCGAACTCGGCACCGGCATGAGCACTTACGTCAAGGTGGGCGGCAGTGGCTGGTGGCGTGGGCTGGGCTCAAAGAGTTTGTAAATGTTTCACATTACAGGCTGCAAAGCATTCAGGATACTTTTCAAAGGTTTAATTTCTCTATTGGCCTTCGTGGCTCCCTCGTTGATTGTTTGAAGAAAACGAATATGCAATAAACAACAACTACGATGTATTATTTGATGTCACACTTCTAGCAACCATCATCCATGGCATTCATCATACGCCTTGTTTAGTCGATGTTTGGAGCATCGACTGTGAGTTGCCTCACCCGTCGTTCTGTTCTGACGTGTGTGCGTCTCCTGCTGCCGTTCGACAGAAGCGCGGCCGTACGATTGTGGTGGACGAGGAGAAGGACCGCGCCATGGTCCAGGAGCTGCTCGAGTTCAAAGACCACATGGACAACATCATGGTCCAGTGCTTCCAGAACAACGACAAGTTCATGCAGCTGCTGCGGGACGCCTTCGAGAACTTCATCAACCAGCGACAGAACAAGCCGGCAGAGATGATCGGTCAGTGGGGGCGGCGGCCGTAACATGAGTGGTCCCGTGTGGGTGGCTAGACACCCACCGGTTTAATCTAGCGGCAGTAGTGCGTTTATTTAGTCTGACCTTTCCATTCTGACCTTTTCACTTGACATTCATACCGAAATTATTACATGTCGTCGGTGTCGCTCGGTGTAGGTACTCACTCCTGACTGTGTACTGTGCACCTGACCCAGCACCTGACCCTCCCCTCCCCGGCCATCCTCAGCCAAGTACATCGACACGAAGCTGCGCTCCGGTAACAAGGAAGCCACCGAGGAGGAACTGGAGCGGCTCATGGACAAAATCATGGTGCTTTTCCGCTTCATACACGGCAAGGACGTCTTTGAGGCCTTCTACAAAAAGGTGCGCACCGTCAGTACATATCACACCGTTCCGTGCTTCTATCCTCAGGATACTGAAATCCTTCTCCTCCACGCCGCAACCCCCCTCCGGGCTGGACAGGCAACTTTATCTCATGCGGGCTGCTCCCTTGGAGCGGCACCGCTGCTCCCGAGGGAGCGCACCCCGTAGCCGGGTGCAGTGAGTGCCTTGGGGCTGGGTGGCCTGTCCTCTGGACGGGCTCAGCCCCGGCGACTCACTAGGGTGCCTGCCCAGACCAATGTCTCCCCCTATATCCTATCATCCTCCTGGCTCTGAAATGGTCTCATTGGACCGAAAGGGCCTAACCCAACAAAACAAAAAACAAAACAGTACATACCATGCTTTTGTTAGGGTACGGGGACCCGCAGTTGCTACTGTACACGAACCCCAACGCTAGCCGTCTGTCCTGTCCAGTAACAACCGATAACATTGATATCGACTGCCGGTCCCTGTACAAGAGCAGCTGAGGTTTTCTGTGCGTGCCCTCTGGCAGCTTATCGTTGTTCCCTGTGAGGGTGCTGGGACAATTTGCTCAGGGTCGCTGCATATACAGTAGCAACTGCGGGTCCCCGTACCGCGGTAACGTGGCGTTGGATGGAGTTACGATTTGTAACGTTTTACGACCAGTAAAACGCCTTTTGGCGAAGAACGAGCGAGCGAGATAGTGAGCCCTGCACGTGCGGAAGGGCGAGAGGGTACTTCCAACGGGCTTGTGCAAAGCACCCTTCTAACCGGTCGCTAGCGGTGTGCCAAATTTGAATGCAATCGGCCCAGCCGTTCCTGAGATCTGGGAGCGGCATTCTGCACGTGCGCACGTGCAAACGGGGTCCAAAATGACTTGCACGGCACCCTACTAACCGGTCCCCAACCGTGTACCAAATTTGAGCGCAATCGGCCCAGCCGTTCTCGAGATCTGGAAACGCCCCCTGCATGTGCGCACGTGCAGTAGCACCCTAACCGCAACACATGGGAATGCATTGCCTGGTGGGTGCCTACCTGTATGCCAAGTTTCAGCGAAATCGCCCCAGTAATTACCGAGTTACTGAAATGGGAACAGATTTGGCACCTCTTCTTTTTGTATTTTGCACGTGCAGTGGGGGCCACTCACATAGATCAAGAGTATCCGACCTTTGGTAGAAGGGATGCAGCTACCCTATAAAAATTACCGCAAGACAATTGCTCAAGCGGCTGCTGAGATATGGGCCTCTCAAAATCATTACTTTTGCAAAACTGCTTGAACACCCTTGACTTTTCACGTGGCACGTGCCACGACGGTTACTGAGATGTATCAAAAGTAGTCAATTACGGGGTAGAAGGGATGGGGCTACCCAGCAAAAAAGACCGCAGGCCAATCGGTCCAGCGGTTGCTGAGATATAAGCCTCTCAAAAGCGTTACAGGCGGGCCGGGCCGGGCCGCTCATACTGAGATTTTTCCGTTGTATTGAATTGTTGTAGTTGTATTCAGTGGCGCGGGAACCGGGGGGGCTAGGGGGGGCTGAGCCCCCCCAGCTTTTCGGCTGGGGGGGCTCGTAATGTATTTGAGCCCCCCCAGCTGGAGGAATCGAAATCGGAAATCTACCAACATAATTTCATAGATTTATACATAGGCGTGGGAACCGGGGGAGGGGGCAGTGGGGGAAGCTTGCCCCCACAACTCTGCGGCCGTGGGGGCGGTGCCCCACAACGTTTCATGAGGCCAGGAACCGTCGGGCAGCTTGTCCTCCCCAAATTAGGGGTTGTGGGTCCTATGTTCGTGTGGTCCGTTCGTACAGGATGAGGATCATGTCATACGACAATGTAGGCTGACACGCAACGTCTCAAGCTTTAACGAGGCCGATTCCCTCCCCGACGTTCTATCAATGTACACGAATGTTAATGCCCCGAAACTCTGTTACGACGTCCTTAGAGCCTTCATGTAGTGTCCGCCGTTTGCCGAACGTTTCGTCTGTACTCATCGATTGCCGATTGCGCGTTATATGTTGCTTACAAATATCTAGGCCCGGAGTCGAGATGGTTCCGACTTCCGAGGTCCCACGGGCGGTTAGCCCGCGCCGCGCCGAATCGCTAGAGATCATTGATGGACTGAGGGTTGTTTTTAATGTATTTTATCCTGTCTTGCTTGCATCGTTTTAATGTGCCATGTTTGCGTTTGTGTCTCTCCCCCCCCCCCCCCCCCGATACCCAAGGTCAATAAACGAATGAATGAATGAATGGGTCACAAAGGAAGAAAGCATGTAAGTGAAAAATCCACCTATTTCACTGGCTCGGCAACTCATTTGGCAGATTAAAACCTTTACTCCAGGTTGCCAAAACGGTAGTTTCTTCACTCAGCTGAGACGGAATACCTCACTTTTTGAAAATATTTTCGTTTTTTTTTGTTGTTGTTGAAAAGGCCAAGGTCTGAAAAATAAGTGGCCTAAAACCGGTGAGAAAACTAGATTTGGGGGTACCCTAGGTTGATTTCTATTATGGTTCAGCCCCCCCAGTCTGGAAGAAGTTCCCGCGCCACTGGTTGTATTGTATTGAAAAGACTCACTTCGCTCGCTGCGCTCGCTCGCTCGTAATAAGTATTTTCGTCTTGCAGTTGTGTCCGAAAGTTATGTGCGCACATTTTGAGTTCGTCTGTCACAATTACCGCCACCCTTCGTGGGGTCTCGGTCGTCTGACCTTTTACCATCGATTCGGTTATGCCCCGCGTTGTGCCGTCCTTACCATCGCTCACCATCCATGCCCCGTCTCACCGTCCGTACCCCACCCGCCTATCTCGCCCGCAGGACCTGGCCAAGCGGTTGCTGCTGGGAAAGTCGGCCAGCGTGGACGCCGAAAAGTCGATGCTCAGCAAGCTGAAGCAGGAGTGCGGCGCCGGCTTCACGTCCAAGCTGGAGGGCATGTTCAAGGACATGGAGCTCAGCAAGGACATCATGCTCACCTTCAAACAGGTCAGCCAGGGCTGAGTTTTCGCAATGTCTGGGGTTTTCACAATGGCCCACTGGTTCGTATTGTGAAGTAGCACCGGGGATATTACATAATGCGAATACGAATGTACATATATTTTTGCCTTGAGTGCGCTTGCTACGGCAAGTGCCAAATAGACACTCGAATTCCCTGCGGTTTTCGAACGTGAGTGTCCGTGAGGGGGTATAGCTCAGTGGTAGAGCATTCGACTGCAGATCGAGAGGTCCCCGGTTCAAATCCGGGTGCCCCCTTGAAGTGTCGTTTTTCTTCAGTCTATGCCGATTGCCGGAGTCGGAACACGTAAAGTAATGTTGGGGACACGATGCTCCTTGGTGCATTCACCAGTCACCACGTGTCACGAGCGTGGTGAGATCGAGTTGAGAGATCAGAAGTTTTTTTCGGAAATCAGCTATCGAGGGACGGTAGCTCTTTTATTAGACGGCAGACCGTAGCCCAAGAGAAAAGTAGAAATCTAGGGGTAAAACTACATTGTGATAACATTTGCTATTCGTGCAGTCGACTGCAAGTATGCTAGCTCACAATGTATTGTTTTCTCTGCGTGTTGTGTTGCCTACCCCGTTCCGTGTCTGAGTTATGCCGTGTCTCCCCCGCAGCACCTGGCCAACCAGCGGAAGCCGCCGTCGCTCGACCTGAACGTCAACATCCTGACGATGGGCTACTGGCCGACGTACCCGCCGGTGGAGGCGCACCTGCCGCCAGACATGTTCACCCTGCAGAAGACCTTCAACGAGTTCTACCTGTCTAAGCACAGCGGCCGGAAGCTGCAGTGGCAGCCCTCGCTCGGGCACTGCCTGCTCCGGGGAAACTTCAAATGCGTGAGTAGCGCAGCGGCCAGGGCAATGGGTACTACCCGATAGAGCCAAACACCACTGGACGTTCAATTGACTATTGGCTGGGTATCCTATGGTGTGTGGTTATTCAACCGGCTGTTTAAAAAGCTGGAGTGAGTATAGATAGGGACACGGTGGACGGATGGTGACATTGCTCTCAATGTCTCCGTGTCTATACTGTGTTTTTTTTTTCAATATCGTGGTGGATCTTCGGTCTACTTGTATTCTTTCATTGTTATGCCCTCCATCTATCGACGAGCATATTGTGTCTCTGTATCCGCACGGTGCTGTCCAAGTCCGCATATTAATCTCGTATACAACTCGCACATCTCGTTCCTTTCGCGTTACAGGGGTACAAGGAGCTGCACGTGTCCCTATACCAGGCGCTGGTGCTGCTGCTGTTCAACGACAGCACCGAGCTGACGCTGGAGGAAGTGCAGGCCTCCACCAAAATCGAGGTACGATATGGGACGGGATGGTTTGTGAAAGAATGTCGGATTGCATTAAAATTGCAGTAGGACGTAGCTTCCCTTAGATTTATTTCCGTTTCACACTGAGTTTCACGTTGTGGTGCAGACGACTATTGACTCAAACATGTTTTTGTCATCCAAATGTCCGACGTTTTATCCATGGCGTTTCTCTCATTTCCTTTTTTCGCAATGGACTTGTTCGCAGCACACCAGAGAACGTTCGGCCTGTGCTATTCTGCGCTCGCCGCTCTCAGTTTCGTCTCTGCGCGGAAGGCGGCGCAGGTATATTCCACCGCTGACCCCCTCTTTGCCCCACCACCCACAGAAGGACGAGCTGAGGCGCACGGTGCAGTCGCTGGCCTGCGGCAAGGCGCGAGTGATACAGAAGGTGCCGCGCGGGAAGGACATCAACCCGGGCGACAAGTTTGTGTTTAACCGCGAGTTCACTCACCAGCTGTACAGAATCAAAATCAACCAGATCCAGCTCAAAGAGACGGTCAGTGGCGGGCGGGGGGGGGGAGAGTGATGGTCTTTGTGGAATAACGGCTGAGTTTTAGCACTGTGGTGGATAATACTGACGGTTTTGTTCTTGTGAGGGTGTAAATTGTTGCAAGTCGTAATTTCTTATGAAGTTTCTCGTTTCTCAGTCTGCGTGAATTCGGGTTGAGCGAATATTCCCCACTCTACCTAACACTCCTCCGCGCCCTCTCTACTCAGATGGAGGAACAGAAGGACACGGAGGAGCGCGTCTTCCAGGACCGACAGTACCAGATTGACGCCGCCATCGTGCGCATCATGAAGATGCGCAAGTCGCTCTCCCACAGCCTGCTCATATCGGAGCTGTATCACCAGCTCAAGTCGCAGTTCCAGGTCAAGGTACGTGTTCGAAAGAGCTGTACTTGTACAGCGGGGGACGTCCTGGTAAGGTCGTGACGACGTTGTGGCTGATAATTCGGTCTTTATATGATGGAAGTGCATGCTTCTGCATGCGAGATTGAATTAGAGGAGCTACGTGCCTTTATCGGCTGCTTGTTCGTTGGCAACTTTACTCTTGGGTGTTATCTTTTAATTTTCAGAGGGGTAAATGGTAAATAAGCGCACAATATGTGCTCTATGCTGTGCATATTTAAAACAAATTACCCCTGCCTGAAACACTCCTCTCCTTTCCGCAGCCGACCGATCTGAAGAAGCGGATCGAATCTCTCATCGACCGTGACTACATGGAGCGGGACAAGGACAGTCCCAACACGTACAACTACGTGGCCTGAGTCAGTGAGCTCTGTGAGACTGTACGGCGGACTCTGTGAGACTGTACGGAACGCGCCGTGTGTCTGTCCGCCCGCCGCCGCCGTCAGGGCGCAGTGGCGCTGCCTGGCGGCGGCGGGTCAACCTGGGGTTCGGAGGAGCTCCACAAGTTGTCTGTGAGTGGACAGGGTACTGACTGGTCGGTCGGGCTGGGAAGGTGTTTCGCTACCGACCTGGCCTAGCGCCTGTGGCACAGTCGTGGGCTCGGACCGCTGCTGACCGCTCGGAGTGCCAGAGTCCGGCACCCCGAGTGCGTGTGTCGCTGAGTGCCCCCGACGATCAGTGGAAGTACCAGGACCGCTCAGCTCGCCCTGTCAAGTGCCGATCGGCTGGATGGGTCAGCAGTCGAGACGGGGGCCGGGGTAGGTCGCCAGTGGCCCCGCTGGGGTAACTGAATGCCAGGCACTAGGAAACGGAGCTCTTACAGGAACCTCGTCAGATCGCGAGATTCAGCCCGAGCCGGGTGCGCAGTCAGCGGGAGCAGCCCGCGTGAGTTCGTCACGTGGAGGCGATCAGGCGGATTGTGAGCACGTTTTGATGCAGCGAAAAGTGATCTAGTGTGTGAAGCTGCTGTACGACGTGTGTCTGTGTCTGTGTTTGTATGTGTGGTTGTGTGTGAGGGCGGGCCGGGGCGAGTGTTCAGTGAACGCCCGGTCGCCGTGAGGGGGTGTTAGGTCAGGACCGTTCCGCCGCGGTGCGGTCCGGCGTTGTCAGAGTGTTGTACGGCCCGAATCGTGTCGGCCGCAGGGCGTATGTCGGTGTGTTTACATTCAGGCCTGTCGGCCTGCCGCGTTGCTCTTTCCTGCGTTTATGAAGAGAGAAATATAGATGGCACAGGTGAGGCTCACCTTTCAACACAAAACAAACCTGATAACTACTGTGTCTCTTACGTAAACCTGTAATGCGTGGGGAATGAGCATAACTCGACCACAAGACAACCACAGTCACAAGATAGACAACCAGTTATGGCATCAGTTTTTTCATGTGTAGGGCCACATCATTCGGCCTATCTGAAGGCATGTGATTCAATCCGCGACACACCTGTGGAGGGGTGACCCAGCCGCGATAGAAGACGCCTTCCAGCTGCAGTAACGCGCCTATCCCGAGGGAGGAGCGTCGCTAACGCTAACGGCCTGCATTTCTCTGCTCCCGTCTCACCACCTGGGACCCACATTCCAGTGGGCATCTCCCGAGAAATGATCGCGTTCTATGTGTGTGACTCGGACCACCAGCTTCTGTGGATCTATGGGCTGATGGCCGGTTCGGTTGGTCACGTGATAAGTTCTGGCATTTGTAAAGCTGGGGGGGGGGGGGGTACTGAATTCCATGTTCGTGCATGGAATCTGATGACGTAGCACGGTCAACTTCGCTCCACAAGCAAAACATTTCGCGTTTCTTTGGCGTGTATTCACAGCGGATTTAGAACCAAGATAGCTTCTAGTGGTGCAGACATTCAGTGCGTATTAGGAGTGCGGCTTCCATCTGCTCTCGCCCGTTCGCGGCGGCGCCCCAGCCCGGTTCGTGTCCGAGGGCCTCTGTCAAACTAGGGCGACTCAGCCCCTCTGCTCGGTGAAAGACAAAACAAAACAGGTGGCGGGCCCGGCCTCTGCCCAGTGTCCCAGGACTGCTGAGCAGGCGGGCCGGGCCGGAGTCGTCACGCCTTACGACGGAGCCTGCTGCGCCCAGAGCCATATCGGCACAGCGAGGGGGCGGAACGCCATCATCCAGCGAGAAAGAAATGCGTCGGCGTTAGCACACTGTTCGGGCCGTCCGGCCGATCTTATCACTACCACTCAGTTAGCGCCTCTGGCTGTTACATCGCCTGCACTCAGCCGCATCAAAGCCACTCTCAAAACACCGCAGCGGCACTATCCCCAGCAGGCTAAGTTTGATCAGCATTATGCGTTGTTTTTCACTCAATATTAGATCTCCTCTCGCGGCGAGTCCCCAGTAATTACTCCCGTGTGACAAACCGTAACATCTCTGTACACTGCCCGTAAAACATACACAGCTCAGGCGGGGTTCTCGGCCCGCCACGGCCCGAACCACGATCAGCACCGCTCCGGCCGGAGAATATACATCAGCGATCTGTCTAGAGTGCGGGCTAAACCGTCACATAACCTTCCCTCATAGCTCTCCTCAACTGGGTATTCACAAACTCTTTTGTAAGTAACAGCGCCCGTCTTCTCCCAGTCTCCATTTCCCTTCCTCTTTCGTCCATCCCTCTAGACTACCTGTCTGTCCGTCCCCGTCTAGCGTCACTCCTAGTCTCTCCCCCATTCCCATCCACCTCCCCCTGCATCCATGCCGATTCCAGTTCTGCTAGTCTATCCCGTCTCCGTCTCTTCCAGTCTAAAGAAATTATCCTCCTCTGCCGCTCCCTGTTTCTCCATCTCTCCGCCTCTTCCTGTCCCATCGTCTCTCGCCATCTCAGTCTCCCCTGTCCCTCCGTCTTTCCGTCCCCCGACTCTTCCTGTCCCGTCAATCTCCCTCTGTATGGCCGACCTCTCCGGTCTATTTACCGCCGCGGCCCGCGTCGCTGGTGGCCGCAGCGTAGCTGGGCGGCGGGGTCGGGTAGCCGGCCAGATCTACCTTGGAGAAGCGCGGGTCGGTGAGCGCCGCTTCGTAGTCCGGCAGAGAGGCCACGGGCTCCTGCTCTGCGCACTGACCGCCGCCGCCGCCGCCGCCACCCTGGCGCAGCAGCAGGTACCGGTAGCACGACCACACCATGGCAATCAGGTACAGCTGAAACGGAGCGAGAGCGATGGGTTATAGCGGGAGAGTACCTACGGACAGGCGGCCTGAACGGGGATGGAAAGGAGAGAAAACAAGTTGGAAGCGATCGGCAGGTATGTGTTTCGTGTTGGTATTACACTTCAATAACTAGCATAATTGTATAGACAACGCATTTGGGGCACTATTCAATTTTGCGTCATTTACATCCCAATCAAAGGCACAAAAGCTTGTTGATAGAAGACATCCAAAAAACCCTACATAGTGCAGTGAAAACACTGTCAACAGGTTTGGCACGGTTCTAGTACGCCCCCGATCGCGGTTAGCAGTCACCCATCGATAGATTATATCAATACACGTCACGTCACGCAGATCCATTGTTATTATTGCGGTCGCCCGGTTACCATGGAAACGCTACGCCGCGCGCCACCGCGCATTTAGCGACTCACTTTGATCACCATGGCAACGAGAAAGGCGACCATCAGGATGAGCGAGAGCCAGCGCTGGTCGAGCCGCAGCAGCTGGTCGCGGAACGGCAGGCTGGGAGACTGGAGCAGCAGCACGTGCAGGTCCGGCATCAGCGAGAAGTAGCTGATCATCGTCAGACTGCCGGATAGACAAACGCCAGGGGGATGGGGGTCAGACTGGTGGACAGACTCGCCGACAGAGTGGGAGGACAGACTTACTGGCAGGCTGGCAAGTTGGAAGTACGGGCGAAAATAAAACCGCGAACATATTCACATAATCGTCTAAAGGTCACGGTATCGGAAAGTTCCCATCGAGGTCGCATTGCCAGCTCTGAGGAGCATATGATTCACATACATCCCCATCATGTTGTGCAATGTGCATACCTACCAAGTCCACCAGCCCCAGCGATATTGGTTACCCCGCACGTCGTAAACCCTGCCTATCGTAATCACCTCGTCACAGGGGCGGCGTTATCCTACGTTAATCGGCAGCTCGAGTGCTTGCGGGCGGTTATCGTTGGCACCTGACTCAGGCACATGGCTGTACTATCAGTCCGCATAAAAAACACCCACGACGACAACGATGAGTTTCGTTTCAGGGTTCTCAGCTGCATGCCCGGTCATCGACGTACAACCCTGGCAGCTCGACACAAAACTAGTGTTGGCTACGAGGAAATAGGTAGTTCGACGGAATATATCGAGCCAGATGTAGTTCATCAGTTACACGCGCTCGTTACACTCGAGTTGAGTGACTAGACTAACCTCACACCGCAGTACGATTCCATTTCTCCATCTCCCCGCCACCATCCCACCCTATCCCCGGGCCACCGAGCCTCACCTGGAGATGCAAAAGTCGAACACCTGCAGGCAGAAGAACGGCATCAGGTAGGAGGGCTGGCCCTTGATGGCGCCCACCACCATCAGCAGCGTGATGATGAACGTGCAGAAGGTGATCATGATGCCGATGTTGAGGTCGTCCACGTTCCACACCTGTCCCCCGAGCACGCTGTAAGTGGGACCATACTTGGGCATCACGCGCGGCGGCAGCAGTGGCTCGTCGGCGCCGGCGCCCGCCGCCGACAGGTTACCCGACTGGGGAGTGCCCTCCAGCTGCACGCGGCGCAGCATCTCCGGGTGGAAGATGACCATGGCCAGCGCCGAGAGGGCCAGCACGTTCATCACCTGAGGGCGGAGCGAGAGGGGGAGCAGCGTCAGGAACTGTCACATGGCGATTCGTGGAGAGGGGGACGGCTGGAGGAAGACACCTATAACTCATTTCGCTCATAAATGCACGAAAATGAGGAGCACATCAGTTTGTTTACACCTTCATCTACTTGTTGACAGTCTCGTCTTAGTCGTCTATGATCGGCACCTAAAATAAGAATACCGGTTACCAGTAACAAAGTGACACTGCAGGCTGCACCATCACCATCCCCGGCCAGTCCCGATAACCGTCCCTTCCAGCCTCCATGCTGACCCAGCGCCTCCAGCTCCGGAGTTAGTCGGTGACGCCGGCTCCCACCGCGGCGCGCCCCCACTCACCAGGTGCCACATGCCGAGCATGATGGTGCCGGTGCGCACGTGCACACAGCCACAGACGCGCTGTCCGCTGTCGCGGCGGCGGCGGCGCGGCCCGATCGGCGCCGGAGAGCCGTCTCGCTCCTCCATAATGATGAGACCAGGCAGCATCAGCGGCACAGGGCCCTCCACTGTGACGACCGGCGGGCTGGGGAGCAGCGAGGCAGTCACTGAGACACAGTGAAACAACTGGTTTGAATCAGCTTTGAGTAAACTGACAACCACTGCAGTCTAGGCACATAATGATAACTCACTAACTCATCAACATGATCATTAGGTCATATTTGCTTTGGTATTTTAGATTAGGAGCCTTAATAAAGATGACCTTTTGGCATGAAAACGTTTGGTCAAATAAGACATAAGGCGACCCCATTTTTCACATGTTCCGCGAAAAGAGTTCCTAAACAGCCAGATCGATATTAATATTTACTGATGGATGAAAATGAAAGGAGCTATGTGAATGCACTCCCACTAATTTGAAAACGGTCAAAGTTAATAAGTTAGCAGGAAGCTCTGATTAGTACCAACCTACCCACCAATAACAATATAATTCAGCAAATCAGTACCGTAAAATGGGGTGTTAAGGGACAGTGGGGTGTTAAGGGACAGTTGCATGGGAAAAACTTTGAGTCATATTAACTTCCTAATTTGAGAAGGTTCAATAAAAACTTCAGTGTGGTAGTTGACACTGTTTTGCTCTTGACCATAGGACAAAATGCTATGGTTTTTCACGCAAGTGATTTGGTTCAAAAATGGATTTGAAAATCATGCTACATTTTCACAAAATTGAAACATCTCCAAAACTCTGTGTGTACCTCATAAACTAGTGTGTGTACAGGGAAAATGAATGCATAGGTGTATTGTCACATGTATTGCACATGTTTCCTGAAAAACTTGTGCAAATTCACCCATTCATTCATCATCCTCTTCCTCTTTTCCGGATACATGCATATTTTGAGGTGGATGTGGGGTGCTAAGGGACAGGGAAGAAAAAAGAAAAAATAAAATCTAAATATAATTTAATCAAGTTTTCTTTCAGTAGGCATGGAAAAACACCAAATTCCACATAAAATGCTGGCAAATTCATGCTTTTATCTCTAACACATCTTAAGTTATGTAACAAAACATCTTGACACTCTCTTTTACAATGATGGGTCAATGGAGACTGATGTAGGTAAATGTGATGTCATCATAAAAAGGCCAAAACAAAGAGGGCAACATAATGACAAGTGACTAGCTTCAACATGGGTTTTTATTGATGACAGAAGATTACTTTTTGGTTCTGTTTACCTTATAATTAGCACATTTTCCACAAGCGTAAACAGCATTACACGTAATTGGCTAAAAAGGTCATTAGTGGTGAATGAACCTGACTTGTTTTGTGACAGAATATGCAAAACATTTCAATAAATAAATTGTGTGCCCTTCCACACCCCAATTGTGGGCATTTGATGACCATTTCTTGGAATAGTATAGGTGTCCCTTAACACCCCACATTGGGGTGCTAAGGGACAGTGATGAAAAATAATAAAAAATAATATGCAGGTATAAATCTTAAAAACTTTAATGTGGCAGGCATGTAAAGCACCAAATTCCACATAAAATGCTGACAATTTGATGCTTCTATCTCCAACCCTTCTTGAGTTATATAACAAAACACCTCAAAACTGTCCCTTAACACCCCATTTTACGGTAGTTGAAACGCAATGGCAGTTGGGGAAACTACGAGGCGAACGTCAAAAAATGGATTGGTCAAAAAATGGATTTCGTATGACCATATATGGGCATAAATGCAGCCATCGCTATTACGGGTGATTAACGGGAAAATAGACAATACTTGCGGCATCGCGTCCACCCATCGGAGAGAACTAGGTTCCATTTTCCATTGGGAACGAAGACTGTGAGTGAATACTTAACGGAACTCGGCGAATTTACTTAAAAATGGCGATCAAAAAATGTCTTTTCTGCAGGTTCTAGGCACCAGCGACAAATCATTTTTTGACTGGCAATCAGCTGGCCATTCCATAAATTGATCGGCAAACAGCTGGCTGATCAAAATATGGATGCGGTGGGAGTGCGAACAGCAGAAGCCAAATGACATGACAATGGTCTTCTGCCCTTACATTAGCCCTATTGGGCGTTGCATGGAAAGAATGGGACCAAAAGTCGGCAGTGCCCCCCTTTAATTGAAGGTGTTCCGCCGCTACCGATCTTTTGACACCAACCACATTTTTAGGTCAGGTCAGGTCACTGACCTGTTCGTCGTTAGTAAGCCTGTGCACCTAAAATGCTACAACTTCGCAATGCTCTCAGTGCCAGAAGAGCTCGTTTTCTTTCAAGAGGCTCTATCGAGATCGAGACGGCGAGAGGGGGGGGGGGGGCGTACCGAGTCCAACCCTTCCCCACGGCCGGGGCGCATGTGGAAAACTATTAGATCCGGCGATGGTGAAGCCACCAGATCAGTTATCGTTCGCTTTAAGCCGCAGCCGATAAGTTATCCTGGGGCAACAAGTAAATCGCAGCCAGACGCGTGCCTACCTTTTTACTGCCCTGTAGCAGTCTCACCACTGATTCGTTTTTGATTTCTTTTGTATTTCATACCCACACTGGCGTCGCTTAGGCATACCCTTCGTCATGGTGATCCAAGACGCCTGTTGGAAGTGAGCACAGCCGGTCCGCCGGGCAGTGTTCATCCCCCACCGCACATCAACATAGGTGAAGAATTGTGCTGAACTGTGGGTGCTCGAGCTCTCCCAATTCTACGCCGGTTTGGCTCTGGAGCCGAAACAGACGGCGGAGGTCAAGGTCACCGATAGGGCGGCGGCGGATTTGCTACGCCCAAGCACCCACAGTTCGGCACAATTCTCCACCAATGCCCACTGCATGCGCCATTACTCATTAATAACAATGAGCACCCAGTAATCTGATCGGGGCCATTTGTAGCATTGGCCAACATGGTGGCCATATATAAAATTGACCAACATATGCCCACCAGCATGACGTCCGAGCTTCCAACAGATATATTGCTCCTCATAGCATGATTATCGCACACGGATATTGTTGCATATCATCGCAGCAGATAGTTGACAGGCCATACGCCTAAACGGTCACCGCATATGAAGCAACTGAAGTACTCGAGCGGCGATGACGCAATTCAAGGAAAAAATCTGTATCGTAAAATTCCCCCTTCGTTTGAGCCCATGACATGTCTGATTCTTCACATTAAGCAAAGCTGCTGCTGATTACACTCAACGCAGCCTCACACATCACTTTGGAGAAATACACTGATGACTCCGCAAATAAGGGACATTAACCTCATTTGCGATCTTATATATCTTATCTTATAAACGCCGTGGAATGGATATGGCAGCACTGGCTGAAGTTCAGCTGCAGAAAACGACTATGAAATGCAAAATGGTTTTCACGCATTTCAGGCCATCGTAATTTGACGGTCTGAAGAATCATTTCGTAGACTCAGATAAACCTTTGTCAGCACTGGTATCACTGTGACTGTTACCAAATACCGTAAATAGAATAGTACGACATTTTATCAGATTGGGCCCTGGTTCCTTAATTCTACGCGAACTGCTTGTATGAGGAACATCGGTAACAAATCAGTGATGATGCCGTACGGGGACCCGCAGTTGCTACTGTACACGAACCCCAACTCTAGCCCTCTGTCCTGTCCAGTAACAACCGATAATATTGATATCGACTGCCGGTCCCTATACAAGAGCAGCTGAGGTTTTCTGTGCGTGCCCTCGGACAGCTTATCTTTGTTCACTGTGAGGGTGCTGAGACAATTTACTCAGGGTCGCTGTACAGTAGCAACTGCGGGTCCCCGTACCAAACCTATCAACCCACAACACTCGTTTGAGGACTACACTGTTTCAACACTGTCCTCCACTTCCTCCGGAGTCCAGACGGTCGCCGCACCTCGCTGCCTTCCGCCACTAGGTGACTGACGGCTGGTCTGCAATGAAACATACAAAATCTGTTAAAGGAAATAGTTCACTTTTAACATGGGGTTTTGAACTGGAATAGCAGTTCCGTGGCTTCAGCTGATACAAGCGCAAATCAAGAGTTTTTACGGCCCGACGATCACCCTAAACAAAAATATATATAATTATGCATGGGTCTGCCGGGAAGATGAAAAATTATCAGCACGAACGTGGTTATCTTTTCACGAGGGCCCTCTCACAGCTTTAAAAAAATAACGACTTCGATAAAGACCTTGGTTCACAAAGAGCAAAAACGAATGTCTACCAAATTTCGCCGAAAAACTTTCACCACGTTTGAAGATATTATGCTTTCATTTTTATTTTAAGGGCCTCCGCTGTTTCTATGACGTCATAAGTTCTTTACCTCCACTTGCAATTTGGTACCAATAATTTGGAATCTTAGCCCTCGCCCCTATGGGGGGGGGGGGGGGAGGGGCCGAACGGACTCCACACCCTCGCTATTTCGCGTAACTAGAGTAAAAAGCGGCCGATTGCGAGACAAAACTTTCAGCACCCTCGAGTTGATCACATTTACATCTACCCTAAAAACTTCTTGTTGAGCAGGCCACTTAGCATTTAAACATTTAAACAATGCCAAACAGCGTGCTTTACCTGGCCGACGGCGCTCCCAGCAGACTCTGGTCCCGTCGGATGTGACCCACCGGCTGCCGCTGGACAGCGGCCAGCAGCGGCAGCCGACGTACTCTGGCCGCAGGCTTGCCCTGTTGTCGCCTGCAGCTGACAAGCACCGCCACCGAAGTCGCCCGCGAGGCGTGCAGGCTGGTGGGAGACGGAACAAATGAGTTAGAAAACAGATACCTGTATGTAACCAACACTCAACAGGATGTTAAACGACATGTCTATTGGTGCTGCAGCAATTATTGGATTCACTATGTAATATTGGGTTTCATCAACTATATGATGGGTTAACACTTGTTGAGGGCTTAGCGATAGGATACCTCCAGGACTGCACCAACATACCTGGCTGACGGCGCTCCCAGCAGACTCTGGTCCCGTCGGATGTGACCCACCGGCTGCCGCTGGACAGCGGCCAGCAGCGGCAGCCGACGTACTCTGGCCGCAGGCTTGCCCTGTTGTCGCCTGCAGCTGACAAGCACCGCCACCGAAGTCGCCCGCGAGGCGTGCAGGCTGGTGGGAGACGGAACAAATGAGTTAGAAAACAGATAGCTGTATATAACCAACAGGATGTTAAACGGCATGTCTATTGGTGCTGCAGCAATTATTGGATTCACTATGTAATATTGGGTTTCATCAACTATATGATGGGTAAACACTTGTTGACGGCTTGGCGATAGGATACCTCCAGGACTACACCAACATACCTGGCTGACGGCGCTCCCAGCAGACTCTGGTCCCGTCGGATGTGACCCACCGGCTGCCGCGGCTGGACAGCGGCCAGCAGCGGCAGCCGACGTCTGGCCGCAGGCTTGCATGACTGCGGTCGCCTGCAGCTGACAAGCACCGCCGCCGGGATGGACACCGTTTCACGCGAGGGCCTATTCACGTGCACATCCGTATTCTTGGTAGAGGCCCAGTAAGTCTGACTTTGTTTTCGCACGGCGCAAGATCGAAATGCGCATAGCTTGTTCAGTCTCCCAAATATGTAGATTTGATGGTTGCCGTTACGTGCTCAAATAGCTCAGCCTTTGTCATTTTGTCGGCGGACGCATCGTCTGACACTATGAAAACCTTGGTCATTTTCTGATCCAACGTCCCCGACATCGCACCCCTGAATGACAGCACGTTCTGCTTTGCCGAGACATCGAAGTTAACAAAGTCGGGGTGCAAGTAATCACCGTCCAGTCCTTGCAGGAACTCCACCTCGTCCCTGGGGTTCGAAAGATGTCCCTTAGCGCGCATTTCGGCTCGAACCCGATCCACACTTGCTTCCTGCGGCAGGTCCTGGTCACTGAACGTCGACGCACCGATACTGCACCGTTCCAGCACACTTTCCTTGACTCCCTCCAGACGGTCGCCGCACCTGGCTGCCTCCTGCCACTGGGTAACGGACGGCTGGCCTGCAATGGAACATGCAAAATCTTTTAGGAACAAAATTGCATTTCCGTAGCTTTCACAGAGTGAATCGTCCTACCACCAGATTAGGATCTGTTGAGCGAGCTACCTAAAAGAACTGGCATTTAAAGCAAGGGAATGAATTGGTATTTCGAGGAAGAATACACTTTCGGATGAGCTACATAAATTAGTGGGTTTTGTTGCCAACGTATTTCTTACGCCGATTTGTCTGCAAAGGAAGCACTCAAACAAATACAGTAGTTAATGAACGACGTGAAAATTTAACGTCATACTATATTCCCAATAATATGCAATGTCTCAGCATACACATGGTTGGATTATGGACAATCATTTTTGTGCATACCTGTAGGGATCCACGATTTCGTTTGGCGATTCTTGTTCTCCAAAACGAAGTCGCCACCTTCGCCTCTCGTAGTGTCTCCTGACGTTGAGTATGATGTTCGGGCTTCGATGAACCTCTTGACTGCAGGCGGGACCTGTTGACGCTGGATCATGTCCCGAACAATCAATCGTTGATACGTGTAGTGGGGTCCCGTGAAGAAGACCAACGCGGCCCTCTGTCTTCCAGCAAGCATTGCTTCACTGTTATTTCTC